GGGCGGCGGGGCTGGCCAGTGGCCTCTGCCCACAGCCCCCTCCGTCAGGGCCTCCGTCAGGGCCTCCTAGGGCGGGGGTGGGATGAACGAACTGCGGGACATGTAACCAAGGTGGCTGGACAGCTTGAACATCCCCAGGTGCAGGGACTTCTGTTCTGTCTTATTATTGAAGGAAAACGCAAACGAATGGTTCACTAAAGGGCGATGAGACGGCTCTCGGGTGCTGTGCCCTGACTTGTGGTTCAGGAAGTCTGGGGTCGGAGCACCTAAGCCACCGTGCCCAGCCCAGACGCCACTGGTTTTAGGATGAGTCCCCGGGAAAGTCGCTCCACCCCCAGGTCTGGGAGGTGTTCGGTGCCAGGCCTCCCGGGAGAGTACTGAGTGAGCTCAGGGTCTTGGGGGCCCCTCTGCTGCTGAGCGGGTCTCTCTGTCCCCCTCCTGTGAGCCCAGGTTCCTGTCACCCTCTAATAGGACTCGAGGTGACAGTGGACCCTAGTGACGGACAGGCCAGCTCAGTCCTCTGTCCTGGTGCCCACAGCTAAGCCTGGAGCCCAAAGCACAAACTCGGGATGCCAGGGGCAGGGCCAACGGGTAAACGTCAGGACATTTTACAAAAGGGCCGCCTCCCGCCTGGGCCTCAACCAGGAACCGGACCCACAACCTAGGTATGTGCCCTCACCGGAATCGAACCCGCAACCTTTTGGCCTATGGGATGACACTCCAACCAACTGAGCCACCTGGTTGGGGCTTTGATATATTTTTTAATCTCCTCTCTAAGTAGTAGTTGGCTCTTGATCTTTTATCATTGTTATATCAGACCTGAGGTTCCTATCTTTTATCGTCCGTTATTTATCTAGTTCTTTCTCCACTCAATGTCATAGTCTGGGGGGGTGGGGGAGGGAGGAATACTGAGGGAAACACTCAACCAGCTGCCTCTGAGGCAGCCACCCGAGAGCAGGGCTGCGGGCAGCTGGGGGGGCGCCTACCCCTCACCTTGGCTGCCCTCCTGTTTCAGCCAGGACTGGACGGGGTTGAACGCGATTGCCTCCATCTCGCACAGGAGGGTCTCCGGACCCGAGGAGACGGCCGTGTTGGACAAGGGGAAGAAGCATTCGCCCAGGTCCCCCACGCGAATGGGCTCGGCCGGGTCTGGCTCACCCTGCGGTAAACGGGAGGCAGACGGGTTAGGACGGTGGAGGAGGAGCAGGGGCCAGGCCCACCACGCTGCCTCATGCCTCTGACCCACATGCTCTGCTGGGGCCGCTCTCTGCTCCTGGGATGGCCTTCTCCTCGCCCTGTCCACCTGGCCGACAATCGTCATTTCCAAAACCCAGGAGGGAGGGCCCCTCCTCCAGGAAGCCTCTCTGATGTCCTGGGCAGGTCACAGTTCAAGCCCCTCTGGACACTGAGGTCCGTGAGGGCAGCGGAGGGTCCTCTTACTTGGATACAAAGTATCCAAGGCAACAAGGAGCAGCTGAGGCCGCTGGAAGCTGTGCTTGGGGTCCTGGCTGAACTTGTTGCTGTGTGACTCCAGGTAAATCTCTCCACCTCTCTGAGCCCCGCTGCCCGCATCTGACCAACAAGGGCTGAGGGCCTGGTCCACAGCAGGCGCTGCTCAAAGGGGGCCCGGGGAAGAAGCAGTGTCCTGGCTGAGTGGGCGGAGGCCAGCCTGCAAGGACAGACTCACTGTCCAGGAGCCCACAGGGCCGCTCACCTTGCTGTCTTTGGGGCGAAGCGGGCAGGCTGTGGGGTCCTCCAGACTCAGGTCATCGCCCAGCAGGATGGACGAGGACTTGTCTGAGTTCAGGGAGAAGGCTTCTGTCTCGGCCAGCTGCACCTGCAGGGAGAGGGGGCGGCCTTGGGTCACCCATGGGGTGGGGACTGGCAGGGCTGGACCCCCAGAAGGACACAGGATGGTGGCCAGAGAGGTTCCGAGATCTGTTGAGCACGGATGGCATGCCCACCTGGGGAGGGGGCCCAGCCTAGGCGGGGGCGGGGGGGGGGGTGGGGAGACACAATAGCGTCACAGCCAGTGAAGAGCCAGGCCCGGGCTGGGCCAGGGCAGGGGAGTTGCCGGGAGCCGGGAGCTCCAAAGCTGGTCCACTTGCTGGTCCACAGACCAAGTGTCCCTGGAGGCTGGCCATCGTGAGTCAGGGCAGTGTCTGCCCAGCGCTGGGCTCCCCCCACAAGGCCAGCCCCCGCAGGCGCCGGCTCACCTCCTGCTTGTCATGGCAGCTCCTGCAGCCGGCCGGGGAGGAGTAGTGGTGGAAGACGGACCCGGACAGGTTGTCGATGATGGTCAGCTCCCCCTCCAAGGAGTCCTTGATGATTAAAGAGACGCTGTCCAGCCACAGGTTCTCCTAGGCGGACAGGACGGGTGGGGACAGGTGGGATTATCACTGGTGGGGCCTGCGGGGTGGGCGGGGCACAGCTGCCCTCGGTCCTCTGCACCTGTGGCCTGGGCCCGACCCCTCGTCACAGGGTCACTCGGAGCTGAGCAGGGGGTCCCCAAAAGACAGAAGTCTCTGCCCAAGGCGCCCCGTCTACCCCAGGCCGGAGCCAGAGGGCCTCCATGGGGTGATGGGCAGGGCAGCAAATGCCAGGGCCCTGGCATCAGGAGGAGCAGTGACCGCAGCCCCTGCCCCGGGCTCTGGCCCTGGGGAGAGTCATGTCCCCTAACACCTGAGCCCTGATCTGAGCTTGTAGGAGGGGTGGACGAGCCCCTCTGGCCTCACCTGCACATCACTGTGCTTCTGGGCCCCAGGCAGGGCCCCCTGCTGCTCCGGGCCCTGACCCCCCTCCCATGTACAATGGGCGCTGGGCAGGCAGAGGGCGAGAGGCCTGACCGCTGGGACATCACCGGCACCTTTGTATGCCGGGGTTCATGTCCCAGCATCAAGAAGGGTTCAGGAATCTGGAAAAGGCTGTGTGCAGATGACATAGAAATCCAGAGACTAATAAAGAGTCCAGAGACGAGTTATAATTTTGAAAAGCATTGGGAGTCAGAGGACCTTCAGCCAAAGGAACTGAAGAGTCCCTCCTTGTCTAGGACCCTTGCTTTTATTCACACAATTTGTCCTAAGGCAAGGTGGAGATAATACACTTCAAAGGGTAAGGTTTCAAAGGGTACAGAAGCATTGTCAGTTTGGGGAATAGCCTACGGCTGTATAGGTGCTTGGCCAGTAGGAGGCAATAACATGGAGATTAAGATGCCCTTTAACTGTCTGGCAGCCATAATCAGTTTCCTATTCAGGTTTGGGGAAATGCCTTCAGCCATTCCCAACAGGTGACTACATGTGTGACTCAACCCTGTTGAGTCCCCAAGTTTCATCAACCTTTTGATGAAACTCTTGAAATTATGACATGCTGGAATTGGTCTACGGCATCTCGCCCTTTTTTATTATTTAAAATTTAACAAGAATGTATGTTTTAAGATTTTTAAATTCAATGGAAAGGACAGAGTTCTAACATGTCCCTTTAAATTGCTGCCAGGCATTAAAGGTATCAGTTTGCAGTAAGTTTCTTTTTGGGCCAACAGTTTTTAGAGTCCTAATTTCAATGTCCAACAGTTCTTAGGTGTACATGTCAGCAATGATATTTCAGTTCTGGATGGTGGACAAACGGTGGCAATCATCTCGAGCTCCAGCTCGGCGTCCATCTCGGCGTCCTCCTGCGCCTCCTTGTTGCTGTCGTCCAGGTGCTTCATGAGCACGGCCACCACCACGTTGATGAGCACGAACTGGGCTGTGAGCACGAAGCTGACGAAGTACAGCGGCGACACGAACTGCAGGCTGCTCAGGCAGCTGCGCTCGTCCTGGGTGCAGTCCCGCAGCGTGTCCTGCGGGCGGGGCAGCAAATGCCAGGGCCCTGGCATCAGGAGGAGCAGTGACCGCAGCCCCTGCCCCGGGCTCTGGCCCTGGGGAGAGTCATGTCCCCTAACACCTGAGCCCTGATCTGAGCTTGTAGGGGCGGACAGCGAGCCCCTCTGGCCTCACCTGCACATCGCTGTGCTTCTGGGCCCCAGGCAGGGCCCCCTGCTGCTCCGGGCCCTGCCCCCCCGTCCCATGTACAATGGGCGCTGGGCAGGCAGAGGGCAGGAGGCCTGACCGCCGGGACGTCTACAGGACCCTTGCTCTCGAACCCAGCCTGAGTTCTCCCTGCCCAGCCTGCCCACAAGTACCTTCATGATCCCGTTCCAGTTGTCGCCCGTGGAGACCTGGAAGAGCGTGAGGAAGGCCATGCCGAAGTTCTCGAAGGTGGCGTGCCGGCTCATGCCCTCGCACGGGTTCTCGTCGTTGCAGACTGAAAGGAAAGGCGGTCAGCTGGCCCGCTGCGGAGCCCGCCCGGCCTCCTCTCAGAACTCCCACGACAACCCTCGGAGGTGTGTGTGGACTGTGCCCTGCCCCCAGATGGAGAGACTGGGGCTCAGGGAGGTGGCACACAAGCTGGGGCTCAGGCTCAGGTGAGCCTGGCTCCTCCCCCAACTCCAGTATCAGTTCCAGAGGGAGAGGATGGGGTGGGTGCGGGCCGGCCGCCAGGGGAGCCCTGCTTTCTGGAGCTGGCCCGGGGTTGCCCTGGCTGTCCTGCTTGTAGGGGTGGCCCTGGCCCAGGATGGGCACTGGCTGGTGGGCTTGGAGGGGGCATCTCGAGAGGTCAGACAGCGTGGGGGCTCAAAGTGGGCATCCACGCGTAGGCCTGGGGTGTGCACGTGGACCCAGGCTAGCCCCTCTCAAAAGCTCCTACTCACACGGGAAGGGGTGCGGGTGGCGGCGAGCCTCCCACCCAACCCCCCAGGGCCTGCTGTTGGGGCATCTCCCCAATACAAAGACCCTGATGTGCCGGCCGGCGTGGCTCAGTGGTTGAGTGTCGACCTATAAACCAGGAGGTCATGGTTTGATCCCTGGTCAGGGCACATGCTCAGGTTGTGGGCTCAGCCCCCAGTATGGGACGTGCAGGAAGCAGCCGATCACTGATTCTCTCTCATCACTGATGTTTCTATCTCTCTCTCACCCTCTCCCTTCCTCTATGAAATCAATAAAAATATATTTTTTAAAAAGACCCTGATGTGACAGTCTCAGGGGGCTCTCAGGCCTCCCCCCAAAGGCCCTTCTCCAGATCCGGTCCCCCCCCCCCCCGGGGCCTGCTTCACTCACCCAGCTTCCCGAAGAGCTCCACGCCCAGGGCGGCGTAGATGAAGAAGAGCAGCATGAAGAGGAGGCCCAGGTTGCCCACCTGTGGAGACAGCAGGTGGGCTGGACTGGGCCTAGGTGGGGACGGGGGAGGTGAGGGGAGGCTGCAAGGCCAGGGAAGGGTTGGGGTGGGGGCCAGCAGGCTCCAGTTAAAGGGCCAGCCTGAGGGTCAGGGCAGCTGAAACATTTCACAGGCTCTGTGTCCATGCCTGCCACCCCCGCATGACCTCCTGGGGGACAGGCTGCCCAGCACGGGGCACAGATAATGGTAAAATGCTGGTGAAGCCTTTACTGTCAGCAGCCTGGATCCAAGCATTTCATATTCATTAGTTCACTTATCCACACGCTGATCCATAAACTCTCTTTTCCCCCCATTCTGCAGATTGAGAAAGAAACATACTGGGCAGTGAAATCCTGGCCCAGGGTCACATCGCTAATACTAGAGTAGGACTGAGATCCAAAGCCAGCCCACTGGCCCCAGGGCCCATGAACACAATCGCTACGCCATGTACCTGTGTGTGGTTAGTGCCATCCCCTGGGTGAATACAGAGAGGAAGGGACGGGTGTCTCTGCAATAACGCCTCCTCCTCCACGAAGCCCGCCTAGATTTCCTCCAGGCAGACTGGGATGCAGTCTGACAGTGTGAGTGTAACTGCTGTGCCCCTGCCACTGTCTCTGCCGCTCTGGGAAGCTCTTGAGAGCAGGAACATGACTAGATGAAGTCACATCTGCTTCCTCAGACCAGCACAGAGCGCAGCCACAGAGAGGAGTGGACATGGGAATCATGCAGAACTGTGGGCCCCAGAAGCGTCCTGCATGCCCAGCCACCCCTGTCCCACAGCTCCTGTGGGAGGAACACGTCCCAGATTCCAAACGTGTTTCCAATCTATCTGTACGCCAGAGACCGCTTCTTACTACGGATAAGAAAAGGCTCAAACACATTCTTGCCCTGGAAGTGAAATATCTCCTGGAGCCCTCAGAAGGCCGGCGTGAATAAGTCCGAAGACGCTGGCATTAATTGCTGAAAAGTAAACCGCGTTAATCACAGCCTCCTAATGCCTTTTTGCAGCAGAGGAGGGTTCCCTTCCGAGCTGCTCTACAATCACACCAACAGTGTCTGACTAATTAAATGATGCTCATTCATTAATGAAATGAGCACATACCGAGCACCTATGAGGCAACGTGTGAGGCCCTGGCAGCGAGGAGATGGTGCGGGAGTGGCCGGGGCCCTGGGCTCAGCTCCCCGCCTCTGCAGGCCCCAGTCAGGAGCATTTGTGAGCCAGCGTCCACCTCACCCTTCCTATCAGTCCATCGCTCCTCCCTCAGCATCTTCCAGAGCCTGTATGGCTGCAGCCACCTCCTCTCCCACCTCCCTGCCTCCAGCCTCTCCCTCCAGTCCATCTACCTCGGAGTTGCCAGAGCAACCTTCTAAAAGGGTGAGGCCATGCCTGGCCAGCGTGGCTCAGTGGTTGAGTGTCGAGCTATGAACCAGGAGGTCATTGTTCGAGGAGGTCACGATTCAATTCCCGGTCAGGGCATATGCCCGGGTTGCAGGCTCGATCCCCAGTATGGGGCCTGCAGAAGGCAGCCGATCGATGATTCTCTCTCATCATTGATGTTCTATCTCTCTCCCTCTCTCCCTCCTCTCTGAAAGCCAAAAAAATATATATTTAAAAAAATAAAAATAAATAAGAGGGTGAGGCTTCCCTTGTCTAGAACCTCCTGTGGTGCCCACTGCCTGCAGGACAGAGCCCAAGTTTGCTGGCCTGGCATCAAAGGCCTGACCCAGCCCTGCAGACCCCCTCCCAGCCTGACCTCCTCGCTGACTCCAGCCACAGGCGACAGACCCCACTTGCATATTCTGTCCCCGAGGCAGGAAAGACCCTCTCTCCGTCTTTGACTGGGAACTGCTCCCTCCCCACCCCTCAAAGCCCAGGTCACCAGTCACCTCCCCCGAGGAGCCTTCCCTGATGTCCCTTCCCTCTGCATAGGAGGAAAGGGGCTAAAGTTTAATTTTTATAGCACTTTACAGAGAACAAGGAACGGTCCAGGGTCAGCTAATAGATGTTGAAGGGTAAGCCTGCGGCCATGCCACGTGCTAATTGGCACTTGAGTCTCTTAAAGTTGCTGACATAATTGTAATTACTATTGAGCCAGGGACCACCTGGGCATCTTCATGTGCCCTCTGCCAACTCAGGGATGGTCTGGGGAACCACCCAAGGATACCCAGGGGTCAGAACAAGGAGGTTGGGGTGTGGGGGAGGGAAGAAGGCCAATATAGCTGGGGGCACACACCACCCCATCCCCATTCCTAGCAGACGCTCACACAGCATTTCCTATGACCCCCGTCCCATTCCTTTCCTATAGGCAAGGAAACCAAGGCAGGAGAAGGTGAGTCACATGCCCAGGGTCTCACAGGGGACGAAGCTTTGATCCCAGGCTGGATGATGGGAGTCTGAGCTCCACCCACTTCCTGCCCGCACACCCCGCAGGCCCAGCACTCACCCCGTCTTCCATGCGGCAAATCTTTTGAAGAGACTTAGTGTTAGGAAAAGCCACATCTCTTTGCATGAATGCCCCTGCTTTCGATCAGACCTGGTGAGAGTCATGGCGCTTTCCCTTTGCAACTGGGCTGCTGGGAAGCTCACACCAAACTGGAGAACGGAACTCGCTAACATTCGTAGCCCAGGTCCCCGCGAGAACTAGCTGTGCTTTCGCCTCCCCTGAGCTGTTCGTCTTTTATCCTCATGTGCAGTGTGCTGTGTCTGTGCCTTTTATCTTAAGATGCCTGAAGTTCCTTAAGACTAGATGAGTCATAACGAATAAACAAGTGTGCGTGAGGCGCACCTCAGAGCAGAGGCCACCCTGGGGGGAGGGAGAAGGGGAGCCTCAAGTAGTCAGGACAGCAGGGGAGGGAGAGACTGGAATCTCAGACTTCCCAGGAGGATGAAAGATGACCCCTCTGTGGCCCTGACCCTATGTCCCTCCCACTGACCAATGGGATAATTTCCTAGGATCTGTACCCATACCAGGGTCTCGGGCTGTCCCCTCCTAGAATCTCAAAACAGAACCTCTCTGTCCACATCACCACCTCCTTCTGCCAAGTCACCCTACAAGGTCAAGTTCAAAGTCCCCTGACACCTTCCCTGATTTCCGGTCTGTGTCAGGGCCCCTTCCCTCTCCCCAGCACAGTGCAGGCCCCTGGCCACACTGCCCTGCAGCATCTGTCTCCCCTACCAGCCTGCTGACTCCTGAGGGCGGAATGTGGGTCCCCAGGGGCCAGCCCAGGGCCCGATAAGGAGCGGGGTTGGCAAGTACTTGGTGACATCAGCAAGAAAGAGGCAAGACACCTGCTCCCTCTCCCACAGTCCCAGCTCACACTGCTCCTCTGGAGACAAGGTTCTGCGCTGGCTCTGGGCAGATTTTGGGAGAAGGGAAGTCGGGGCTTGCCCCCCAGGGCCCAGCATGGCACCAACAACAGGCAGGAGGGGCCGCTGGGGGAGGCGGCTCTTACCTGGGGCAGAGCTTGCACCACCGTGTCCAGCAGGGCCCGCATGCCCGTGGCCATGGAAGCGCTGGCTCTGGGCGGACTTGGGGAGAAGGGGAGTCGGGGCTCGCCCCCCAGGGCCCAGCATGGCACCAACAACAGGCAGGAGGGGCCGCTGGGGGAGGCGGCTCTTACCTGGGGCAGAGCTTGCACCACCGTGTCCAGCAGGGCCCGCATGCCCGTGGCCATCTTCAGCAGCTTCAGCACTGTGGGGAGACCCAGCGGCCACTCAGCCAGGCCCGTGGGTGGGGCGCGTGCACGTGTGCGAGTGCCACAGAACGTGGTGTAGTTACAGGGTGAGTGGGTTGTGCATGAAAACTTGTGGCACAAGGTGTAGACATCGGTGTAAAAAAGACCAAAAGACAGAGGGCACGCCCAGTGGGAACCAAGGGATATAAAGTATATGAGTGAAAAAAAAAGCGTAAAGAGTGACCCCCTAATTCACCGATGAGGAAAAATGACCATCCAGTGAGTGCCCAGGCCTCTTCCTGTGGCTACAGAGGACTCCAGCGTTACCCCAAGCTCTGCTCAGCCATCCCTACCTCGGGACCTGGAGGCCACAGCAGGTGCAGGGGGAGGGGAAGAGGCACCTGGGGAACAGGGAGGCAGGGGGTCTTTGAAAGAAGTGTGGGAGCGGCCTTGGGGTGGTGGGAGGTTTGGGAGAAGAAAGGGGATTTTAAGAAGCTTGAGGCCCCTGTGTCCCAGCTGGTGTTGGAGAAATGAAAGGAGAAATGCTGGTGAGGAATTTCAAGCTGAGGCTGGGCCGCATGGGT